TCAAAATAAAACGTATAACATACTGACTTAACAATTGTAACAAAACAGTGTGTGTGTAACCAGTGTAGTCCAGGGGACCTGTGGTATCCTGTTGTGGGCTCCAGTGAGGTAAGTTACAAACAGGTCAACGGTCAGAACCCAGCACAAGATGGTAACAAACATCACCCAGCCGAGAGCAGACAGATGAAAATATCTGTGCCCCCAGGATCCACACCAACATACCACACACCTAGAGGAGAGGACAAGACACAATACGAGACCAGAATCGACAAGAGGAGACAAGAAGAGAGAGAGAACCTACTTCTTGATGTGCAACTTTGGCCATAGAAAATTCAAATAAATCAAACTAAAAACGGAAACAAAAAGTAGTATTTCATGTAGCTTCTGTTAATAAAAGCTTACTAAGCCATTTATTTGTTTTTTTATGAGACATTTCCAAATTCCAAACACTGATCATGCACCTCCACTCACTCAAAGTGTTGTGGTGAGTGACTAAATTTCGTTCCTCTCGTTCCTCAACACTATTTCAAACCGGCCCTTCCTGTTTTATAACAAAAGTCTGCTGGATGTTTCAATATCACAGAAGGTGTGAAACATGACTTTAAGCCGGGTTTGTTTCTTTTAAGATAAAACGAAGGAAATCAATTTAACATCACAATCTGCCGAGTTACTGACCTGTTTCAGTACACCTGTCACGTTAATTTAACCCAAAAGCCGCAATTTGCAGTTACGTAAATGCAAGTTTACTTATCTTATCTTGACTACATGCTAATACATAGTATGATCCCACAATCTGTCGATATGTTATATAATTCCCAAACCAAACAGCTTTTGAGTCTGTCTGCAGTCAGATTTAAAGTTGTTGCATTTGCTTGCAATCAGATTACTCCAACTGTGACCTGTGCGGCCTCTTCATGGCAGCCAGCCAGACTGTATTTACAGAAAGGCTGACCTGACTTTCTTTGTCGGCTGATTTGGAAAGGAAGAGACACAATGAGGGAGAGGAAGGAGGATTTGCTCGTTGTGTTGTTTTTTTACTGTTTCTTCTTTTACTCTATTAAATACAGTTTAGGGAATACCTGAGAAACACAAAACCTTCGTTCATGTGCACTAATGTAGACTAGACACAATCCAAACGCAGATCAAGGTGTGTGTGTGTGTGTGTGTGTGTGTGTGTGTGTGTGTGTGTGTGTGTTTCTGCATCATCTGAGCTTGTTCACATAACTATCATAACAGGAACATACTTTTATCCTATTTTAATCTCTCTCATAAGCATCATAACCAGTAGCTGCAGTTGTTCCCATCGTAACTTATTGTCATTTGATCTGTAATGGTGATATTTCATGACTGCTGAGCATTATTTAATAACACTGAACATCTTATAAAATGCATATTCATACTTACTATCTCAGCCAGGAGGAGAAGTCCTTTGGTAGTTGTGGTAAAGTGCTGCTCGAAGGCCAAGGTGGAGGTTGAGATGTTGCATTCTGGTGCTGAGGGACTCCTAGGGGCCGACGCCACCGCTGCTCTCTCCATGTTACACTGACACAGACGGTCTGCGTGCTCTCAGTCGGGTTGTCGCTGTTGCAGAGGAAGTTGTCTTCCTGTCCCGGAATCAAACAAGGACAACCCTCTATTTAATTATAAATACTGTATTTCAGCTCACATACCAACTACAATTGCATCAGACATGTGTGTTGTGCGCTGTCTTATTCACCTTAGTTTAAAAATCACTGACTGAATACCTTGAGTTAATACATTTATGCTGCAGAGACAATTTGTTAGTAAAAAAGATAAAAGATTTACTTTCTTGCTGTTGCTGCTTTTGTTTTGTTAGTCTTTCATTATGTGGTGATGTAATAAATGCTATAAGGAGTCATGATGCTCCACTGCACAACAGGCACAAAGGTGACAATAAACAGGCAGGATATTGAGATGATGGACCCTTCAGGGGGATTCACAGCTGAGGGCAAGAAAAGTAGCACTGTGTGAAATGTACTTCAGGACACACTGATAAAGACAGTTATGCTACTGATGATAAATGATGAGGCAAGACAAAGAAGAGATGTCAGTGTGAGGGAATAAAGTAGCGTTACACATACTTTTGCAAGTTCTAGCAACAGCAATTACTGATTATTTAGGTCGATATGCTACATTTTACGCTGTCATTGTTTTCTGCAATACCATGAAAACTAATTTGCATAGATTTAGTCTTGTTTGAGTTATATAATGCACCAGAATGAACAATTTATTTTTGTGGTGCATTAGGACTGCTTAAACAGAGTGTCATCATTAGAGGTCTCCCCTCTGTGTTTTTGACATGTGACATAGTCTGTCTTGATTAGAAGTTGTTCTGACACGGCTATTCTTTGTTAAAGATTCTTTAAAAAAGAAAAATACATCTAGTCCTTCTCCCACATTAAAATATGCAGAATTCCCAAATGTGCAAATATTCTTCATGTCAGACTTCACCGAAGAGTCCACTCTCAGAATGTGCAGGTTTAAGTCTCCATATCACACTTGTGTAAGTTGGATATTGGACCACAGTAAACTAGTTGTGACGTCACAAGATCCTGCTCATTCGTAGCCTGTTGAACCGAGATTCAAGTTGAGCAAAGACAAACTTCCCCCTTCAGCCGATGACTGTGAAAACAGCCTTCTACTCAACGAGCAGTGAAGGTCAGGCATCCAGGTGAAGCAGTGAAGCAGAGGGAGACTCAAGGAGGAAACCATGCTGAGACCTTGTAGCTGCATTAACTCATTTCTGATTTTTGGCCTGATTAATTAAAACCCTGCCAGTGCTGCAGTGCAGCCATGGAGGCAGCGAGTAGCTTTGACCACTAGGGGGCAGTAGTTACACATATGTAAACTCATTCAGAGGAAACCTCAGCGCACAAGGACAAAAGATGCAAGGTGGAGGCCATCAAGGCGTGCTGGCGGGGTTAACTGTCGCCACTGTGGGCGTGTAAATTGTAGCTTTCACTCATTTATTCTTTATTTTTTTTGCTAATAAGGAGAAGGCAACCTTACGGTCAAGATAACTTGGCTGAGTGCCTGAGTGCTTACTCACTATAGAAGCAGGTGTGCATTAGACAGGCCAGGAACTTGGATGACTGAATGATTCATTGTGCTGTGACCATTGCATGAACATTTATTTATAACTGCGTGTGCTGATGATCGTTTTCCTCACAATCGAATAGATCAGAAAAGATTAGAACAGAGGGAACATGACTATACATTGATCAACGAAAATAACTTTTGAATAATAAAACAGTTTTTTGCAGTTGTAACTCTGATCGGATGGAAGTTGCAAACAACTTGGTGACTATAAATTCAGACATGATACGAAAAGTCAAATGGCAAAAAAGCCAGCAAGATTTTTGATGAGCAAACAAGCAATGACCTTCACATTACGATGCTTTGTGTTGTTCTGCTGCAGTCGATGGGCTTGGCCATGCATTTTCTGACTGGGTATTTCACATGCTTTGTCTTATGCCACATGATAGACTAATTCTGCCCTGCTGAGCATATTCTGCTCTGCACAGCAATATCTCCACTGCAGCAATCTATACTCTGTGTTACTCTCTCTCTCTCTGTCTCCCTTCATGCACTCAACCAACAGGCCAGCTTTTCTTGTCTTCCTTGTGCTGGCCAGTCGCTACATGTCACCAACAGAATACAAATAAAAGAAATGTCCATTTCTGTATATGGGATCGGCAGCTTGCACCCAGAAACAGTAGTCTTTCTTTGAGACCAATAGATTTTCTATATAAGCTAATTGTCACAGCAGGACTGGGGTTATTTCACTTTCATTCTATTAATTAAAAAATGGAAACACAATCCTAATTGTCATTTACTAATGTCAGAGCACACTCTTAATTATTTTGTGACAGATCGAACGTGATCATCTTCAAAAAGTTTGAGGTTTTACCCATTTAGATCTTCCCTTTGTCAGACAGTTTGGTGGGGGGAAGGAAAATTGATTGTTGAAGTGATTCCCTGATAGACTCACTGAAAACAGATTTGATTTTCAGTTTGTTTGGCTTTTACAACTGCTTTTCATGTTCTATCTCCCTTATATGATGGGCCTAAATTGTAACAGGGTGTTTTGGTCTGACATGAACAGCTGGATGTATTTGTGTTTCTACTCTGCAGAATGGATGGGGAACAATTATCTAATTTGTTGCCCAACAAAGTGCACTTGCGCTAGCTTTTTTACTTAGGTGTGCTTTGCAAAATGTGCTGCGAACACAGTGTCTGTATTGAACATATGAATAATGTAAGTCACCGTCGACGTGCTCACATGAGAGTGGACTCTCTTCTCAGCCTCTCACATGGGAAAACCTTGATTGATGACAAGGTCAATTGGGGTTGTTCTAAAGATATTTGAGAGCTTTCTTGCTCATTGAAAACATCTCTATCTTCCTCTCCATTACCTCTTTCTCCTCCTTTCCCTCCTAGTCCTCCCACTGAAAAGCATGTCATGACTGCCATTATTTGTCCCCACATTAGCCTTGATAGCCACATGATGAGATCTATATTCACCAATAATAACTCACTAAAATCAACTGGCATGGAGAACTGGCTGCATAAATGAATACATTTTTTTTCTGACTGAAGTTAATGTTTCATGTTGGATTGGAGGAAAACATTGTAATACCATAAAATCCTTTCATCACATGAACACTCAGGTATCAGTGGTTTGGATCATCTCGCATTGTCCTCATCATAGTTAATACAGCAGGCTTTTGCACTCATCAGTAACCGAGTGCCTCCTGTAGTAGCCGCTTTCTTAGGTTCTCCAAAGTGATTATTATGCTCTATTGTCCAGGCGGTTTAATTAAAGTTGGGTTTTTTCTTTAATTCCCTGAAATACCACAAAGGCTCAGAAGCACACAGGTGATTAGTGGTTATTTCCCTGATTTGTCTCTGTATGCTTGCACACACACATGCTCATCCAATTGGTCTTGTATGATATTTTTTGATCATTTAACTAATGATAATAATGAAGATTGACAAAGATTTCACTTGGCCTATTCCTATTAATGTTACCCATATAATTTAGTGTTATTAGGCTTTAATCAACACTATCAAGACTTGAAAGAAATATTGATGCAGTGCACCAACCATCACCAAATGACACAATCATAATAGTAAAATTAGCATGAAACTATGTGAAAATCCAGAAAATAACAAAACTTTAAAAAAAACATAAATTAATGATATCTGTACTTAAACTTTATTCTGTAGAGTTTCACTTCATGTGTTGATTTAATTTATTTCAATGGAGTTAAAGTGAACCCAGGCCTAACAGTGGCTCACAATCATCATTTCTGAGTGATTTAGTTGAAAAAGAGAAAATTAAATTAATAGAATTACTATTGCAAATTTTCTAAACCCTCCAGGGGGAATTATTCAGGACCAGACTAATACTGTGCAGTTGCACCTTTTGTTGCTGGGGTTGTACAATCACTTCATACCTTCTTTTCTGAGAGTGCGGTGAGTAAAAAGAGTGAGGTATAACTTCTCTGCTGGAAATGACGGAGCTTTTATCTCGTTTTCTCCCCTGCCCTCCCTTCCTTAAAGTGTTTCCATTCTCACCATGGTCTTCATTGCTGTACTGTATTTACTCTTCTTTCCTTTCCTCTAATTCTCTCTCTCCTGTTCTGTCATCTTCTTCCTGGTGAGTGTTTCGATTCTGCCGCTTTGACACAAAGCCTCGCCACTGTCACACACACACACACACACACAAACACACACCAACACACACAATGCACCATTTACTGAAACTCTACATGCTAAGATGTAAATAACCTGAACTCCGCCTGAACCTCCCCATCCCCTCTACACAAATACACACACGCGCACACACACACACACACACACACACACACACACACACACACACACACAC